TACTAATCACGAGCTCACATTACGGTAGGAAGCGCTCGCACGACTCCAACAGCAGCAGCCGCAGGAGAACAAAAGAGAGTGAGAGAGTGAGAGAGAGAGAGAGAGAGAGAGAGTGAGTGAGTGAGTGAGTGAGTGAGTGAGTGAGTGGCAGTGAGTGAGTGCGAGCGAGAGAGAGAGAGAGAGAGAGAGAGTGCTTGAAACTGGTTCTTGTCACGTGTCGTTCGCGACCACTCGGATTTATGGAACAATTGCTCCGCTTACTCTACGTCACTCCCAATTGCTGGCGAAATCACGTTTCATAGCATGTGCGACCGAACGCACTCATTTGGGCTGCTTGCACAACTCACACTGCAAATCAGTCCGTCACTATCGAGTCAATATTGCTTGGATGTCCTGGCTGCAGAGGAGCTGAAGACTGTCCATCCATGAGCCGGCTCCGCCCAATCGCACGACACGAACACCTCGCATGCGCTCAACACATCTGCCGTGCTAGGCTGTGTCCGGCGGTATGGCGCCAATTGCATACTGGGGCGCCGTGTGCGAACATGCCGACCGGGCACGGGAAATATGACCTGACTGGTTCAAGCTAGAATAATGAACTCTAGAAGCATGAACTAAAGCAGCATGTTGCACCCCGTTATTGAATCTTAGAGAATCTTAGAAGCCATCATGTTGCTCGTCTCCTCTAGGCTTCATTGCGGCTTCATACATGTGTGCGGTTGACTCATGCCGCCACGCTACACTTTTTGCTCTGCACACTCCTCGAGGTCGACGGCATCCTGCAATGACACGGGCGACTATTTCAACACAAATGGGGCTTCAAGCGATGCGCACCGCCGTTCCACACTAATCCTTCCAGAGTTCGTCAAACGGTCAGCTACACCAAGTCACACCTCTCCTCCGGCAGAGTGACAGTGCCATTCTCCAGCGCGGCTGTTGTGTTGCCTTGCAGGGACAGCTCCTGACAAATAGCCTCCCACTTATGTGAATTTCCAATGTTGTTCAAGAATCTAGAGCTTAAGCTGCTTCCACCAGGCCGCCGCCTTCACCTTGCAACGTCTCGTTTGCCTCATCACCATCAGGTAACGCCTCAGCACGACAGCGTAGCTTGCGGTCTCTGCTTTCGGATGAAGGCAAGCCATGTTATCCCGAGATGTTGTAAGTCTGTAAGGATTCGGAAGCTCTGCAGTACCCGACAACTGGGTCCATCACGCTGACCAAATGCAGAACTCCCTGTCCTTCATGGTTTTCCATGAGTTGCCTGAGCCATGGAAGAAGTGTTCAGTATGATGCTCAAGACTGTACTGTATGCAGAGGTTATCGAGCAGAAACACATCGATGATTGAATGCACTGCCAGGAAACTGAGATACCAAAGCGCCGTCTTCGAAAAGGGACGCGACCCACGTTGACGAGAATGGCAACCGCACCGACGTTGCTGCTTCTGCAGAATCTGACAGGGTCACTCCTGGCAATCTTCCGATTCTGGCTCCATTGGTTGAGCTCGAACAGTGAACGATGAACATATATAGACGGAGGCATGACAACGCTCGAGTTGTGGCTTTGGGACGGCCGGCGGCCGCAGTTTGGCCGTCCTTGGATCTGAAGGACTTCCCGAAGTGGCAGGGCTGGCTCCGAGGTGTAGCCAAGCGTGTAGACCTTGATCAGCTGTGTGGATAGAAGGGGGCTGCTTTGCCAGAAGTGCAACAAAGAGCACGGCCCAAATTTGTACAGGAAACAATCTTATGAGACACCTCGACGATGGGCCTCATTCTGTCCACAACCTCCGGTTTGGATGGCTGCCGACGGCCCAACAGCTATCTTTACACTTGGCTATGGCTATGGACTTCCTCCCAACGCTTGCTGGAGTTGCCATAGGCAAGCAGGCCCTCGCAAAAAGTACGAGTGCGGTGGCAGCTGCTTCGTTATGTACAGGGCTTTTGATTGCCGGCCTTAGGCCGCTCAAACCCTTCTGCTTCAGCACGACGGAGTACTGGGCGCCACTGCTTCCAAGTCAACAGACAGGTCTCCTCTGAGGCATAGAGATACGCGGCCACAGTAGTCCCTACGTCGAGCTCCTCTCCTTCAACTTGCTTGTCAGGCCGACACCAGTGTTTCCACATGACGACTGCCGTCACGTATGTCAGGTAAGCTGCGACGACAAGCTCCGCAGCTTCTCGACAGGAGGACTTCTTTCCAACATGCCAAACACTGAGTCCAACCTCCAACACCCACACGAAAGTCGTTGTGAAGCTCCAGAACAAATACATTTGAGTCCGGAACTCATCCAGCTTGTTGCTATCCAGAACGATAAGTACCAGCCTTGGCTATTGGGGATCATGCCAGCTCGAATCAGCCTTGCAAGTCCGTCAAGGCTGCCTCAAGTCGTAACCTTTGCCCTCTCTGATGTCCCCTCCCGTATGCGCCACAAATATCCCCAAACCCGCCGTGCAAACTGATGCAATGCTGCAAAAAGGCCCAGTTAGATTGGATGCAACCATGAACATGGCAAAACAGATCGCACGAAGAAAAAGATGCCATTGAAACACAGGGACACCGTAATCGACCAGGTCAGAACGCCAAGGTTTACTGCAGCCCAGGGTCCGGGGCTCTTCTCCTTACAGCACACGCCCTCAGGCTACAGCGGGTACTCTCATGAGGATCTACTGATATACTTGAGGTCTCGGACATTCTTGCACTATGAGGAGTCGGTCGCAAGAGCCGCGTGAAAGGGCGGGTGGCCCAGCTACCCCCAAATCCAAAGCCCAGGCCAAGACGCTCGAGCCCAAGGCCCCGACCCCAAAGCCCGGGCCAAGGCGCCGCAGACCACTTACCATTCAGCCGTGTTTCCGGCACACACATCTCGAGCTTCTGGCTGAAAGTCTTCTCCTCCTCCGCATCGCCGGGTAGACCAACATAGCTTGCAGGGCCAGGCGCCATGAGCAGAGTTCAGTATAGTCAGTTAAGTCTAAAGTCTAATAAATGTTAGGTCCTAAAAAGAGGAACCTCCCACCGCAGATGCTGGACTTAGGCAGAGTAGCAACTCGATAATCTCCTGAACTCTTCCGAGGATAAACATGACATAATCTGCACTGAAGATTGCAGATTGCTCGAGCCACGGAGACATGGCAGGACGAGTCTCCGCAGAACTGTGGAGCCTCCGAGAGCTCGGCATAGGCCTCACTTCCGTAGCAAAGACATCGCCATCGTGCGGAGGAGATCATCGAGGTGTTCGTTACCTTACTTGAATCTTCAATCCATCATAGATAATCATAACCATCTGTGGCACAAAATGGGTTGCCTTCTCACAGTGCCAGGAAAATATAACTAAAATCATCCTGGCATTCTACGATAGAACCAAGGTTTGCAACACGCGAGCCTTCTTAAGATGTAGTGCTCCAAAGCCGCTCGACAGTTGTCCAGCCATCGCAACGGTGCCGGCGCGGTGATCCGCACGAAGTCAACTGAGGCATGATGGGTCGGGCTGCTGGCAGTGCATCGGTCGAGGCCAATAACAGACATAGAAGCACATGTCTGAATCGGGCTTTTGCTTTGAAAAAAAAGAGCAACGAGACTAGCTGCTCCAGCTGTCATTTTGGGGGCGGTCCGTGACGGTCAGAGCTCATGGCCCTCCCCTGCCTAGTGCTGCCTCTGCGGCATCTGTGAAGTCAGAGCTGCGAACTCCTGGACTGGTCCGTCCATCTCAGACCCACTGTTTACAACACAGTGTACCACACCTTGTCGAAAGGCAGATGCGAGACGACTCGCCACGAGGCGGGACGAGCGTGTAGGTGGAGCCTGGAATGAAGAAGATTCTACCGGCGCCACGGAGGTTTCTCAGGGCTATTTGTGCTGTCTGACATTGCCAGCCAGCTATGCCTGTGTTTGCGGGACTGTTTATGGTTCTTACAGCATGTCGCAAAAGTTTCAGAGACCCAGAGACCCCGCCTGTGGCAAAGCAAGGGCCAGCTGCACGCGGATTCCAGACCCTGGCACATGACTGCCGACTTTGCACTCACTAAGGCTCATGTGTGGTGCAACCCAAGTTTTACTTGGGAGCTAGCTCCACACATGTTCGGACCATGGCAGATGCAAAGCGCCATTGGACGTGGACCAGTGTTGCAACGGTTTAAGCATGATTCATTGTAGACCGAAGCCACGAGACGGAGACTTGCAAGTTGCCCGGTGCGCTCGTGTGTAGTGCTGGGGCGAACAACAGCACAGTGTCGTTGGTCGAGGATGTCGACCACGTGTGTTCTCCATGCTGGAAAAAGACAGAAAGCCACCCCTGGTCAACGGACTCGAGCCTGACAAACAAACCAACGAACTCGCGCCCATGCGCATGCTACCGGTAGGGCAGGAATCGGCTGTGACGAGCGGGAACATCGTAGCCCCAGGGTCCCGCAAAATGGCCCCTTGAGCATGGACTCGACATGCAGGACTCGCACGTGCACATGTGCAAGTCCACTTCCGAGCTCGCGGCTGCTATCCGCAGGGGCCCCTTCTGCCATAAATTCACCCTCTCCGAATGTTCCCCTCGAAAAAGATCTATATGCCAGCCCGGTCGACTGGAAGCTTGGAACATGGCGAATTGACGTGTCAGCTGTTGCCGGCGTCATGCACTTTATGTCCAAGAGTGGCCGGACTTCGAGTTTCTCCGGCAGATGCACCAGCTGGTGCCGAGATGACCTGATTAATTGTACGACATTTACGACCTGCTGCTACGACATAGATTCCAGTAGCGACATGAGCCAAAGCATTGACCTCGGCGGCGACGATCTCCAAACACAATCGAGGTGGCATGCGTGATTGTCTGCCGTGCGTGCAGATTTTGGCATGTTCGGTCGACCTGCGAGACAGTCGTGAGCCTGTTTGGCGTTCAAGAACAGGACCATTCTGCAGCGTCTTCGGTTTGTCGTTCTTGAAGCGGTACACTATAGCCTGCATTGATCCTTCGTCGTTATAACGGCACCTCTTATGGCTCATGATGCATGGCTCGGGATACGACATTTGGACGTTGTCGATGCGGGACTACTGGAATGTCAGAAGCCGGGCAAGTGCCTCTGTCTACAGCGAGCGCTGCAGCAGCAGGAAGCTCCTGTCGAAACTGTTCAAGGTTCCCAGCAGGCTGCATCATGAAGTCTTTGGAGTGATTGACTGCCGCTCGTCTATACACCAGTACCTCGCACTGCCACGCACCAAGGACGCACATTGCCATTCACTGCCAGAAATGCGGAGTTCAACCTTGCCGCTTCTTTTGCCTGGCGGGCCTTTGAACCTAAAGCTTGCTAGTTGTGAAACGGATCATGCATTCTACCTTTAGAGTCTTGTGGCTTTGTAGAGCCAGAGATGGTGCTCAGAAATTGGGGCTGAGTGCGCATTGCGTGGTGCAGCTGCGCGCATCCCCGCACTGCCGGGACCTGGCACAGGTCGAGAGAAACAAGTCTGACAAAGCCTCTGCAGGCCCTCGACCGTTCCTGATGTAGCGTCGCTTCATGGGCGTGAAGGTGTTTTTCGATAAAACCAACCACCTTGGCTGTCGTGGCTCTCCAGAGATACCACATGCTGAGCTGCTGACACCGACCGAAGCAGAAAGAGGAACACAACTGCGGCAAACACCCCAACAGCGAAAACGACAACCTTTAGAGACTCTACAGCGTGCTGCTTTGCATGACTTCTCCTGGGGTGGTGGAGAAGTCGAAGGGAGCATCTCATCAGTTCATGGAGTTGCTACAAGTAGCAGGGAGCCTCGTAGCATCCCGCTGCATATATGGCCAAGTCTGGGCGTAAAAATAGTACACAGAAGCAAGGGCTGCATGCATTCTGCAATGCACAGAGAAAGGTCCACAACGCTTGTCGGTCGCACTTCGGAACGTAGCAATCTACTTCGGCCAAGCCACACCACATCTTCATCTCGGGGTACCGTAAAGCTGACAATGCCCACTTGTGAAGTGGTGCCCTGGTTTCAACGAGTGTTTGAATGACGTTCTTGATTCATGTCTGCACGTGTGAAAACTACTTCGCAGTACGCAGTACCACATACATGTCACATACAGCACGCACTTACTAGCAAAACCATGACTATAAGTTGTACCAGCGCTACCAGCGTGCGACGACGACGACAACGACGCTGACACCCAGATTATGAGCCAGTGTGCAACGTCTTCACGCGCACGCATTATACCGACCTGGGCCCCAAGCAACAAAGGACCGTGTGCAAGACACTCACCCCCGAAATGTGCACGGAAGCGTCGCGAAGATGTAGCGTGAGCATGCGATGATCCACAGGGTCGGCAAAACGACCGGTCATGTTCGTCCCAGTTTCGGAGTACGATTGGCATTCTGTCGACGAAGCTTCAAGTCCAAACCCAGGCACGGGCATCGTACCGTTAAAGCGACAGCCGGATGAATCTGAATTCGATTCCCTGCGACAAGCGAACCAACGCCGGCCTCGGCAAGAAGAGCCTTGCTTTTGCTGAGAATCTGAACCGGCACAGAATTCAGGGTCGTGCCTGCAGCCGACTGGATTCTCCGCATTCGTGCCCGCTTGAGATCCGCTGGAGGCAGGACGTGCTCAAAGAAGACTCTGCTGCAACGGACTGATTGCAATCCAGCCTGTGGTAGCACTCACCACCCGCAGTACGAGTTGCCAGTTGGAGGGAGATGCTGAGGCTGTTTCTGTAGATGCTTGCTGCTCCTCCAGAGGGTGTTAAAAGAGCATACGTGACTGGTGCAAGGTTAACAGCCAACTTGACAGCTAGCAAATCTCGACGATGCGACATGCTCGTCAAAAGCCCCGGTCTCTATCGAAACTGCTTGCTGCGCACACTCCTCCTTGTTGTCGTCATTTGCCGGAGAAGGAGAAGAAGAAGGACGATCCAGCTCCTGGCAAAGTTGCAAAATTGCGACCGCAGTCTCATCTGACCGCCCACATAAAATCCAACTTGACAGCTAGCAGATCTCGACGATGCGACCGAAACTGCTTGCTGCGAACGCTCCTCACTCTTGTCGTCATTATCCGGAGAAGGAGAAGGACGATCCAGCTCCTGGTCCTGTGCTGGCAAAGTTGCAGCCGCAATCTCTGGCACAAATGCATCACTGCGCGGGGAGATGTGTTCAACGCACTGACTGTTCGGAACGACAATCCACTGAGTCCACTATCTGCCTTTTCCAACCCCATCGTGTGCTCCTGCTCGTCTTGCAATGCCGCCTCAACCTCTCCGTTGGCCACGGGCACATCGACCTCCTGTGCTCCGAAACCCATGTGATTTCAAATACATTACACATGCCTCTCAACTGTGTGAACTGGAAACTCTACTCGCAAGCAACGACAACCTGTCGTCTCGGTTCACCTGGTACCATAGCCTGCACGTGCTTTTTCCATACTATGTACTTGGTTGCTACCGCCTGAACAGACATGCCTAAGGACATCACTTCATGTCGAAAGCTTCAATAGCCACTTCTCCTCGATCTCGTCGTTGATGGTTGAGATCTGATTTGTCAGCTGCCGCTTCGGCGGCTTCGGTTTAGATGTCCTGAGCTCCTGGGACTTCGACGTGGAATACTGGTTACAGGGGCGGTAAATCACTCAGGCATTTCATTCTGTTAGCAGGATGCAGCAAAGTAGATACGTCATAGCATCTTACTTTGCTCTTCTCTCCCTGGCATACATGCATTCAATCCCTCGCAGAACCTGAGGGCCGAAGCCCCGCATGCTTGATCTGAGCCTACACAGGCGCAGGTTTGGGGAGGATAGGTTACTCTCTGCCATAATAGTCAGTAGTCGCGGTGGTGCGGGTAGTGGTCATTGTAGTGGCAGTAGTGGTAGTGGTGGTTGTAGTAGTAATCAGTAGTTGTCGTAGTCGTCGTCGTGGGGTGCTTCTGCCACCCACGCAGCACAGCTGTAGGTGCTCAGCGGCCCAAACAACAACGTGAGATATGCATAAACTAGTACGACGATCCGCTTCACTATGGTAAGGCAGAGAGTTCGACTCTGCCACCAGAAAGATGCTAGTACTACTACTACTACTGCTACTGCTACTGCTACTACTACTACTACTACTACTACTACTACTACTACTAGTGCTCCTGCTCCTGCTGCTGCTGCTGCTGCTGCTGCTATCTACTACTACGGCGCCTACTAGCCACCCCGCCCCCCCTACCAACTACACTTGCTCCATCCGGGCTGGGCAGTGGCAGCTTCTAGGCTCCCGAACTGCGACAGGTGCAGAAGATGCAGGGCTCAGGCTCCTTATCTGTGACTGTTGCAGAAGTGGCAGACACTTTCCTTAACTGTCACAGTCGGTGAAGTCGCAGAGGATCAGGCCCCAAAATTGCGATAGCAGTTGGAGTTGCAAACTCGACGGGGAAGAAACTGCTCAACCACAGGTGGTCGGATAGTACGAAAGCGTTGTAAATACCGTGCAAATCGCA